AAGCCTCCAGACACTACCTAAAAAACAATTAGGAGATGAGGCTAAGAAATCAGTTGTATTGGGAGAAATGAATAGAGTTGATAACCATGTCTTTCTGAACTGCTTGCATCCAGCTTTCAGGTAAATTCCAGTATCTTCACCCAGGCTTACCCTGAATGCCTCCTGAATTCTTCCCATACAACTTCATAATGCCCTCACCTACCACAATTTATTCTCAGCTGTCTCACCCCGACCTCCTTAAACTCCAATTGGAGATGCCTTAAAAGTTAAGGCACCCCCACTTTAACTTTACCAGTTAAACTAAGCAGTTTGCTAAGATTCCAGTTGATTCAGATTTACTCCTGTCTGCTCAGCTATTGTGTTTGGACAGTATTAGCACTTAATGCACTTATTAGCACAAATGCATCCATTAGCACAATGACAGATGCGATTTATTTTCTGATGTGTCACCCCAACCCGTGCCAACTCCAATGCTAGCCTACCTTATCCTGAGATATCTCAATCAGATCAGCCACCCTGCATTATTCTGTCCACCTGACTAGTTCTGAGCTGTCATCCCTAATCCCAGATCTACTTAAATCCAGTCCACTTCCACTGCAAATTACCTGATGCCTCCTTATTTGCTCAGAGATGCCACAAAGTATCATGATCTGCTCTGATCCATTCCCAGATCCCCAGAACCATCTCTAGCTGAGACACTTCAGCATTAGATGGGTCTTTTCTGCAGGAAAGAATGTATATAACAGCATACAAATTAAGATGCCAGTCGTGTCAAGAGCTCTGGAACAAATCCTGCAGCTCCATTCTTCTCCACCCTTCCTAATCCCTCTGCAGGGCTATGTATCTCTCACTGCCAGCTCCGAGACACTGAATCATAAGAAAAGTGCAGTTTGTTAAAGCCTGACACAGGCTTTGGCTCGGCTGGTCATATCACTAAAGGATTTTGTCTCTGATTAATTTCAACCTGTCATTAGAGGTCTCTGGGCAGAATGAAAGAACCTGTCACCCTGTATGTTTCCGATTAATATAACTTCTCAGAAGGTGCCTGGAGATCCATCAACAATCTTAATTAAATCCAACCAAATGGATGACAACTAATCATTCAGGGAGTGGCTCTCTTGGGACAATGGCTGAAGAGTGCATATGGGAGGATGGTAAGGGAGGCAGATGGCTGCTTGTGTAACGTAGCAAAGCCTGTTTAAACAGTGACGTCCCTGATGGCTGTGTTTCAATTCAATTTATCCTGCTCCCTGTCCTTTAGGAGTTAGTTGTTCTTCCACGCCAGTTAAAACTGCCCTCTGCCAAGGTGCCAAAGGGACATTTCTGCTGTGATTCTCCAGCTGCTGCACTTTGCAGACCATTTCCAGGAAAACAATCTCATTGTCCTTTCCCTCTAAACATACATATCCACTGTAAACAGGCAAGATGCATGACAAGCAGTAAAGTGACTCACCCTAGTTAGCAGAAGCCTACCAAAGGGTTTCCAGAGGTAATCTCTTTATCATCCTCAATATTTGATATCTTTACTAAAATTCCTGATTAGTCTCAATTGTGTGTTTTTATGAGTACAGGCATCTGCACTGTAAGAACTTGATTAAGAGAGATGTTGTACACACTCTTCAGTCTGAGTATCATATAAGCCCTCCAGCAGTCACAACATGAGTGATGACATTCAGCCACCATCTAGCTGGTTTGGATTTAAAGCAGTGAAGAGAGAAATCCAGTTAGCAGTCAAGCACAGAAATCAAAAGCTTTTTTCCAAAATATTAGTAGCTGCTGCAGTGACCTTCCTCCTTGTCTGCATTCACATACTTGCATACAACTAAGATTGTAAATCGAATTCACTTTGGTTAAGACTGGCAGTAGTCTTTGGACATTATACAGCAATCCTTTCAAATGCATTATTATGTAAATTAATTGTAAACTCTTCAAGGGTATGAGACCCAGCTTCTCCTCCTGCCTCCTCCAAACAACAGGAGAGAAATGAAAGCAAAGCCCCGGCAGTAGAACCACCTTTATTCAACATTTTGCAGTCCTTGCTGTGCAGAGAAATGGATATTGTGAAGGTTGCTCAGCAGCCTGGAACAGAACTGCAACCACAACTCTTTATCTAGCTGGGGAGGATGCCCGCCTCTCCTGCCCCTGAGGAGTTTGCCTGGCAGCTATACAAGTTATTCATACTACGCACTGGAAGAAATATTTCAGCCTTAATTCTTGCACACCACGTACAATAAATGAAACACATGTAGTATATTAATATAGGCAACAGACACACTGTTAATAAACCATGGACATATTGTGACATACAGGAGACAATAAAGCTAGTATGAGGTATTACTACAGAAAAAACTGCGAATACAAGAGAAACACAAGGCATGGGTGAGCATCTCAGCCATGAAGAGTGGTAGCTGATACTCATTACCTTTTGAGAAGTTCACCACCTGTAAGACTGTAAAAACTAGTTAAAACTAGGAAGACATTAAGAACTCAAAAGAGAAAGCTACTGACACCGGCTCCTAACTCTTAAGTACGAACTAAAAGTTGTACTTTGAAAAATTCAGACAAAACCCACGGAATATCTGTGATAAAGTTACTTTCATATCTGTGCTACTTTCATACCTGTGTTAAGAAGGGAGATGACAATCAGAAATACTCATGCTTGGCAACAGTCATGAAGTTCAAAGCAACAGCCTTCTGTAGTACATACACATAGCAAAAACCAACCAACCAAAAATCCTGTAGGACTAACAAAAAACCTTGTTGACTGGAGATTGTAATATACTGAGTACAGATAATAAATAGCGGTGAGGGAATACTTGGTTGTGAACTAGCAAATTAATGAATCAGGATCCCAAGGAATAAGTTTTTATCTGGTTTGTTAGCTACTCTTAAATTCGTACCACCTTATCTTCAATGCTATTGTTAGTTGACAAACATGCTCATTTTGCTGAGCAGGAAGGCAAAGTGAGGCTTTAGGACATGACTAATCAAGAACTATGATACCCATGCTTATATTGGTATTTCCTCCTGTTATTCCTGCAAGGACAATACATTAAACATAGCATGTCTAATTTTGGGAACAGCAGATAAATTATAACAAATACTTGGACTTGGTTATAAAAATCCACTTAAATTATAGGAAAATCTACTTAAATTACAGGATAAAATAGCAAAAGCAGAATGTGCTAGTACCTGGTTCTTATTTTTTATGTTTAGTACAAAAAGCAAGATCAGAATTTCTCCTCCTGACTATCCCACCTAAGAAAGGGTTTTGAGATGTAGCTAATTAAGAGAATCATGCATTCAAAGAAGACTGATTTTTCTATACAGAAACACAACATGAAGAGAATCTGAAGTAACTGAAGGCATTAATTCAAACAATTTATTTAAATATCATTAAACTGTTCAATAGAAGTTGCTATTCAGAACTAAAGCAGCCTCAATCTGTTTTATCTTAATTTACTTCTCAAGCACATTGTGGCAACTTCAATCCTAAATACACATATCTGTAATCCTAATCTGATTTGAGTAATCCACTTTAACAATTAATTCAGATATATTTACTTAAGTATTCATGTCTCCTGAGTAACTGAAAAAAAGGAATATAAACTGATGAATGCATTTGTTACTATTATTACAGAGGAGATATAAATAAGCAGTTTTCACCTAAAAAAATAATCAGATGAGATCAGTGTATAATGTATGCATCTTCTACATTTACAAGAATCCAGTGATAGTTATGGGCCTGAAGTCTCTTCTGTCAAGGTGCCCTGATTTTAATGCTGCAATATTGTTGTATCACCTGAGAGGCAAACATTGAGATGCATATCATTACTGATATTATACCTATTCATATTTATAACATTATGAATGGGAATTTGAGAGAAAAAAAAAAAGAGATTAAGTGATCCATCCACAGCTAAACAATAGATAGTGACTTAATTAGGGACAGCATGGTAGATTCACTCCTGTTCCTAACTTTTAGTAAAAGGCTTCAGACTTCCCATAGCAATGCGTGAACTGCCTTACAAAATGAAATTACCCCATAGACTCCAGACTTTCATTATCAATGCTCTGTCTTAGGCATAGATAAACTTTGGCTATTTAGTCCGTAGTTACTTCTGAAGAGGAAGGAGAAATGGAGAAATAAAATACCATTATACCATTAGAGACATCACTGCAGTGTGGCCATACTTGCCTCTGCTTTTAAACCCATGACATTAAGTGAATTAGTCTCCCTCCAATGCAAGATCAATTATTTCAGAAAGGTACCCAACATGGCAGGGAACAGCAGACTTTATTTATATCTGCAAGAGATACAGGTTACGCAATAAGGAAGATCTATCCACATGTCAACACTTACTTTTAGGAACTCCAGTCACAGACCAGGACCATACTGCGTTAAGATTTCGTAGAGATACAAAAGCATCTCAGTGCACCTGACTCTGATCATCCACTTCGGCACAGAAGACTAAGTTTTGTATCCAAGCTGCAGAGATCACTGGAAAGGCACCATCATTAAAATGTATTTGTCTTTACAGAAAGCTGCAGATACTCAAAAAGAACAAATCAAAGGCCTCTGAATTGCTAGCATTAAGGAGATAACAAGAAGTCAAGATTAGCTGAGATTTCAGATTTGATGGAAACTTAAAAGAAGCAAAGCATACTGATTTTGCTCTAGTTCTGCACAATACCAGGTAATACACTTTCTGGTGTGAAATACTTAATTGAAAGCTGTGAATTAAAAAGTTTAGTCTCTCATCCTACTGTATGTATCACCCGGGAAGTTAGCAAAAGAGGAAAAACAGGCAGAGTAAGTTACCTGCCCATAGCTATTCAGTTACCCTGGAAAGTAGGAGTATTTGAGGCATGCTTGCTTAGGGAGAAGAGACTTTATTGCTGCAATTTCATAAGGCACAATTGCTCTCCACAGACATTTGTCTTCGTAATTCCTTCACTGGAAAAACTATTTGTTAATAGCAGCTAAAAGTACACCTTAAGGAGGAGAATAAGTGACTGATAAAATACTTATAAAAACGATTAATGTTTTGGAGATTAAAAAAAAAAAAATCCCTGAAATAACTTAAGACATTTGAGCAAGAGTCTGAAGAGCTGTTCCTCTGAAGTCACGTAAGACACAAGGAAACTATACCAAATGCAAAAGGAGAGTAAATTCCTCTTTTGCCCCACATGTTGACACCTGCAAGTCAGGACTGGCTTCACACCACACAGCTGAAATTCAAATCAATGCAGTTGCTAAGATCTCCACTGCCGAAATCCAATCATAACAAAAATGTACTCACTTCATGCACCAGAAAAAATAGTCTCTGTGAGAGTTTTTCTTCCATTTTAAGGCAAACATTTGGAGCGAGGTAAGAATTTACAGTGTCAACTTTCAATGCAATTTTCAAATCAAGCTCTTACAAAGATGGGTCAGTGTTGCCTCATCCTCTTGAGAAAAATCTCATGCATATAATCCCAAAATCTTCCCTGATGTGACTCATTGCGATGAATCATAGCAGTGAGGGCCTCACCCTGATCAAGGCTTTGCCAATAATCCTGCAGCCACATTTCCTTCCAACTGAAACAAAAAAAGAGACACCATCATAAACCATTAAAAAAACCCAAGTCTGCAACTGTAATAGCACTGAAACCATTTTTTTTCTTCCACCTAAGAGGAAAACAGGCCGAGAGATGGCCATAACAAGGTATGTTGTTACTGTGCCATTGCACTCCAAGTCATTTAAAGAAATTCGCTACGAAAATTCTCTACAGAAAATATAAGTTCACTATTAGTTTTACAACATTCTAGAAAAATCAGCAGGCAACTACACTGTTAACCAAAGAGACTAAATTATTAATTGTAGAGAATAAAAACTTCTATTAAAATAAAATCTAGCACAGAGTCCTTATATGATTTTAAGAGTAGCCTTCCATGGCCAGTATGCATAAATCAGCCTAAGAATCAATTTTTTTTTTTCCAAATAAACCATTTAACAATTAGAGAATGACAGTTACTCATTACAAAATGATGTCATACATGGCAGAGACAGAAAAATCATTATGTCTCTCAACCCTGACTCTATTCTTTATCTCCAGACTACATGGTTGAGTATAGGCTTTCTCTTTTTCAATGCATACATTCTCAAACTTTTCATAGCACAGACTACGTCACTGCAACTTTCAGCAGTTCCCTTCCCATTCAGGATCACGTGGACTACTTCTCTCATTTATGTTATATCAACGTATGACAATAATTTATTTATCTCTTCTCCATTGTATCTGCTACCCAGCCACGTAAGCCCATCACAAATTTTGGAAAGAAGGACCAAACATGATGCTCTTTTTAATCTGTCCATATGAGTTACCAAGTACTTGTTAATTTATATATAGAACTTTTTGCTGCTTCTCTGTCCCAATCACAGAAATAAGTACAGTGCCCTCTGTGTTCACTCCATACACCATATATTGAATCAAGCATGGCTGCACTGCCCAGAAGCAGATCTCACCCACTGCTCAAGGAACACCAAAAGAAACGCACAATATGTCATAGTCACCTTCTTTGTGGAGCAGCACACAACCTGTACGCCATGGGAATTAGTTTTCTGTGGTCAACAGCATCATCTATGGTGGGACATTTCTGCAGTGTATAGCAACAGAGACCTCAAAGTGAAGCTTTTATGTGAAGGATCATAGACAGAGGCTTACTTCTGCATTAAAAAAAAAAAAATCTGCCAAAAGGTTCCTTTGTAAAATGCAGCACTTGGACGGACTGTGAGATCACGTTGCTTACCAGCTAAATTCATTAACCTTTGTTCAAGGACTGCCAACATGAGTTACTTGTTTTTTACAGCACTGAATAAGGGCACACGTTAGGAAAATGAGTATACTTGCATTAAGTACTAGACACAAGACTAAGTGGCAGTAGGTAAAAGAAAAAAAAGAAAATGTTTTCCAGCTGAACTCTACAGAAACAACATTGAAAGGAATTCCAGTATCCAAGTGAAGACTTTTGTCAAAAACATTAAATAAGAACACTGTGGTATTTTTATTTTTACATTGCTGTTGCTGGTTTTAAAGAAAATAATTTCACTCTGATTCTGTAACTTGGAAAAAATTGGTACCCCAGGATAAACAGGACTATACAAATATCCTGAAACTACCAACTACATACATCTGAAATGTTATTACCACAAGATACAGATCTATCTTTAATCTTGGCTGATTATTGGACTCTACAGGAAGAGACACCTTACAGTGTACACATAGCAGATCTGATACACTTTTAAGCTGGTTTTTCTCTTGTCATAAATAAATCCTGACATCAACATAAAATGGAACTAGCAAAATCATGATGGTTTCAAAATACTCCTTTATCAAAGGCACACTGGATTCTCTTTTCTCATGCTACCACAAATGAAAACTTTAGGTAACTGGAAAGGTATTGTCACTTAATTTTCTTATAGTTACGCTCTTAAATGCCCCACTTTTGGAAAATGAATCCTTATCAATGAAACAAACCAAACATTTCTCTTCACAAAGATGGGAGTCCAAGAATAACTGGAGATTCCAGTTCCTATTAAACAGATATTCTACTCAGCAGCAGCACTGTAACTCACTCTTTTCTGTACAAAGCAGCCAACAATTCAATAGATTACAGTGACTGACCCATAACCTAACACATACAAATGGTTGTTCTACAGCCTTAGTTCTTAAACTCATGTGGGTGTGAAGTGCAGAAGTCCAAATACAAGTGAGGCTGCAAGCATAAGGACTTGGGAACCACGTCTCCACAGTTAGAGCTAAAGAACAGCAAGGTGAAGATATAATAAGGTGCTCTGGCGACACATACCTACGTAGAGAGAGATTCTGATGCAACAGTTCTGTCAATTCAGCACATTCATCAACCCTAAAAACAAATTACATCTGGGAATAAGGGTTACAAAGCATGCAGATGCACAGGGTAACCTTATTGTAATTGGGTACTTGCTCTAAAAATACATAAACTCCAATTGCCTTTGCTGTTCTCCGAGTTCCAGAAGCCTCCAGAACTCCAAGTCACAGTGTATGTTTATAGTCAGACCTTGTATGTTGCATATAGTCTATCATTTGTAACTCCACTAGGCCTGTGTCACTTTTCCACAATGATGTTTTCTAAAGTAACAAAAATACACAATTGACTGGCTCAGTTGACAATCATAAAAATTGATCATACTGTTGACATAATATTACTGCCAAACTCTGACAAAATATGAGCATGTTTAGCTAATGCTTTGTTAGCAATTTTATGTTACTTTCATAACATTTACAATTCTAAGTAATCATGTTCCATTTTGGAGATAAGAACAGCGAAAGCTCAGATGCTTAGAAGATAGAAACGACTGTATTTCACTGGAGATCCCCTTGATCATGCCTCAGAAGGTACAGATACATATCTTTGCAAAGCAGATAGCAGACAACGTAAGAGCTTCCCTGGTACAGTTTTTCCAGACACATCTCACATCTACAAACAGGGGGAGGATAACATACTGTAGTTCAATGAGACATGGAAACTTCCATGGGATGCAACTGTAGCTTGGATTCTGGAGCAACCATTCAAGACTCCTTGCTGATGCTCACTGCACAGAATGATAGGAGTACCTGAGCTTGCAAGTAAGTGGCACAGGCACCCAGGCTGTGCCTTCAAAGGTACTTCTCTACTGCCATCTGCTGCGCAAGCAAAAGAAAATCCATGAAAAAGTAGAGAACACTCTGTAAAGAGTAGGATGCTGCATAGCATGCTACAGGGAAAAACCACATTTTGCTACCGAGACTGAGAAAAGGTATTACTATAAAAAAGCTCCCATAAATCGATCAACCAACAGAAAACAAAGTATTATGGACCTCTTTTACTTAACAAGCATAACTTTTCAATTAGTCAATATGAGAATTAATAGTACTGTGAAAAATGCTTTTTAATGACAAACATCACAAGTTTCGTGAAATAGGCATTTCCTAAACAACCTGAGAGACCTCAGGCTTATTTTCCTTTTTCAATTTCAGTTGGCCAGTTTTGAAAGCATCCAAACATAGGATGAAGTAGTTCTCCATACTCAGAAAATTCTTCATACTTTTTTGTGGATGGATAACATAATAAAAACTTCTTTAGACCTTCATATCCACACAGAGCTTAGTTCTGGGTCAGCGTACTGGAAATGATGTATTCTACATTTCAACACACTGTTTCTTCTAACATTTTAACACTCCTAAACATTAAATAATCTTAGTCTAGGAAACTATTAACAAAGCTGTAAACTGGTATAAACTGGGATGGAGTATATTGACAACTTCCTTCTGGAAGTGCATGAGATCTTCCCAATATTTTCAGAAAGTCATTAATTTAATACTACAGCAGGACTGACATCAGAAATCTTTGGTGATAGCTATGAACATAGGCAAGATCTGCTATGGCTGAGGGTTAATCTTTATGATGGCTGTCTGATGGCTTATAGAAAGTCAACTGAATGCACTTGAGTAATTGTCTAAAAAGACAGAAATTGTTGCAGGTAATGCAAAGAAAAATTACAAAACTGGGGGATCCAAATGTGTTACACTAGCAATACACACTACAAAAAGTGCAGACATGGTTTATGAACTGCAAGAACCCTTCTTTGTAGCAACTGCAACTTCAAACACTGTCAATGGAAAAACTCAAGGTTTGGGAACCCAAGCACTGACTTGTTTCATACTAATGCATGTATAAACACTAAGTAGACCATGCAAACAAAACTATTCTGCCTGTCAAAAGTGGTTGCCTGAGGGCTGGTGTGGTTAGCTAGCTCCCTGCTGACAGACTTCAGGGCAGCTCACACTAGAGATAGCTAACACTGGGCTATAGGCCTGGGAAGATTCCAGCAAGCCTAGCAATCCCTGTGCGCAAACGGGACAAGAAGTTACCCAATCTATTCTCTGTCCTGCATGAGCCCTCTCCTAAATAAATGGGATGGCATCCTTCAACACAAGCCAGAATTTTGTCACACAAAACCCCAAAAAGTTTTGTAAAGCATTCTGGGTGAGCCCAACTCCTGCTTTGAAGTCAACAGCGGTTTAACCAGGCCTGCACTGAACAGTGGCATCCCCATTCTTAACGCAGTGCTTTGTGATGAGGTATAGAGCTTCTTTCACCCAAGGGCTACCAAGTGCTTTACCATCACTGCACCAAAAAACATGCCTCCTCCAAACAAACAAAGAGGCTAAGATGGACAAAGGATAACCACCACATTGCCCCAGGTCACAGAGCATCTTAACAGACTATTAGGGGTGTCTCACACTCCTCATTCAACACTAACCAATACCACTGTCCAAGTCTTTTTCAGCCTCAGTGTTAAACAGTGTTAGCAGAACTACCATACCACCCACAAGACATAATGTAAAATGTAACTGGAGATGTATCAAGAGATCCTTTAAGTCAAAAGCATTATTAGAGTTACAGCGACTATTATTTGAAGCTTTTTTTCCTTCAAAAAGCATAGTATTGGTACATTACCTGTCCCCTCCAGAGAAGTCTTCAACACTTCCAAACCCAGGGGTTGGCACAGGACATCCCATGTGCTTGAACTGAGCTATGCGAGGTCTGGGAGCTGGAATTTTCCCATGAGACTTTCTGTGTTCCTGCTCCTCTTTGACCCGGATGTTCTCTCTGTCACAGATGAAACACTCGAAGCCATTCAGGTAGTTGGGCAGAGTCATGTCATTCACACCCCACTCCCGCCTCTCCAAGCTCTCTAGCAAGAACTGGTTTTTGATTCCGCCAAGGTTTTTATACTCTAGATACTTCATATATTCCTCTCCATTCTTGTCCAAGAAATCAAGATACTTTGCCAGCTCTTGGGGGCTGTCAAAGTCATCTATAAGAATGATGGAGAGGTTGTTTGGCATCCAGTCCCGCACAGCTGGAGAGCCTCGGTATACTGGGACAGCACCCAAGTGCATCGGACGCCACAACTTCTCTGTCATGTAGTCATCACATATGGCATTCTCCAAGGCTAGATGAAACTTATACCTGGCGATAAAAGTCATAAATTCAGAATCTTCTGTAGTGGCTGTAGAAGTGTCTCTCAGTCGCTCACTGGGAAGCTCACGGTTATGCAGGCATTTCCCATAGGAGTCAACCTAAAATAACAATCAGCATCTTTACAAAGTGATTTGTTTGCCCAGAGATTGTTTTCAGAGCTTGTAGTTCTCTTAAAATTCCTAACTTTGATCAGTTCTTAGTTATCTTAGTTTAGTTTCACTTTCACACCAGGTTCTTCCTTTTGTGACTGTTCCTAGAGTCCCAGTTCTAACAGCTTTAGAGGAAACCGAGTGCACAGTTTCAAAAGCAGCATAAACTATGCTACAGATTGAGGGGTGGGGGGGAGGGTGCAGAAAAGAAGATGTAACCCAAAAAAGTATTTATTACCAGATAAATCAGAAACTGAGAGGTAAATAAAGACATTAAACTCTTTCTATGTTCATTTAAAAGTCATCTTTCTACTTAAGAGAGACCCAGTACTTTTCCAAACAGTTATTACACACAGTTCCTGCCAGTCTCAGCAGGCTGGTAAAAATTTTTAATTTGTTAGACTGAGAAAAATTGATGTGGGGAGCTAAAATAATACTATCTAAAAATGAAAGACAATACACTTGATCTGGAACCTGCTTCATACTTTGACAATACAGTCACATTCAAAAATTCTTTTGTCTTTGCTTCACTATTGAGTACATGATGAACCTGCACAATAAATGAATCACGACCAACAGAAATAGCAGAAATAACTAGCAAAAAGACATTTCAGATAAAGACTAAAAACACATGCTTTTTTTTTAATCTACTGTACTTCAGAATTTTTAAGGAAAATAAGCACTAAACTTTTTTTCTGCTTGAAAGAAACATTATTTCAGTTTATGAAGTTACTCTCCATCAGCTGTGCCACAGCAGTACAAACCATCATAGAAATAACATGGTCCTACCACAACACAGATAAGGAGCAGATTCTCAAAACACAGCAACTTGTCTTTCCATTGCATGCCTATACTTTCAAATCGGAGCAAGGCTTGTAAATAGACAGCCTTCCTGTACGCTAACTTAAAGGTACAGAGATTTCAGCAACCTCTAGCACTTGGTCCACAAGTCCAAGATATTCAGGCTTAGCCCAACTTCTAACTGATCCCGAATCTAGCCAACTCCATAACTAACAGCTACCATCAGGCCTACCTACTGGCATGCGGTGCAGTCTAGACCACGCTTTGGGAAGGAATACAACTATTTTTTCTGTCCAGCTTGTAGTCGGCATGCATCCCGTTATGATTCGTGTCTTGGCTAAAAACAAGGACAAACAAACCCCATTAAAAAGAGGAGGTGGAGAGGGGCAGCCAGGTGGACCCAGCTCCTACAGCAACACCGTGCCACAGTTTCCCTGCGCACCCACCTACCTGGATGTATTTCATGAGCTCCCGCACGTAGCGGTCCCTGTCTGAGGGGACATCGCAGTGGGACTGCATGTACAGCACCGGGGCATAGCCCTTCCGTCGCCACGCGTCCTTCTCGGCCAGGGGCACCGCAGGTCCCCCACGCCGGGCAGCCACTGCAGCGTGAGGGGGTAGTCGGACTCCCGGCGGAAGGTGGCCGTGTAGTTGAAGAGCTGGATGCCGGGCAAGTGCGAGAGGACGTAGTTGTTCATGGGGGACTCCTCATGGAAGAGCGCCCAGGTCTGGTGGGACAGGCGGGGCAGCGGCGCCTCGTAGGCCCTGAAGTCGGTGCCGTAGAAGATGAGGGCCTTGGTGCGGCGGTGCCGG